TACTACTACTACTACTACTACTACTACTACTACTACTACTACTACTACTACTACTCCTACTCCTTTTTTAATTACTCCATCCCTCTCCTATCTGCGCGGCCGTGCCTTTCGGGAGGCGGCCAGCAGAGGGATCTGAGCTTTGCTTTTTCCCCCCGGTCGCGGCTGCCGCGGCGGAGGCAGCAACATCTGCTGGGCTAGAGGAGACAGGGCGATTGAGCAGACACACAGATGTAAAAGTGACATCTGCTTGTGACAAAGGAGCGGGAATTAGATTAGGCGGGGAGGCCTTTCTGCGATTAGGAGGGAAAAAAAAAAAGAAAAAGAAAAAAAGGAAAGGAAAATACTATCTCTTCAGACAATTTAAGCAGGGGAAGAGGTTGTGAAAGGCAGAAATGCTCGCTGGGCAGCTGCTAGGACAGCCGGGGCAGCACAAGGGTCCTGGGAGCTGAAATAGCCCTGAGAGAAGGCTCTGCTTTTCCCTCTAGAAGCGGAAATGTGGCCGGGTCAAAGCTTTCCATCATTACGAGCAAAGGACAGCAAGCAGCATGGCGCTGCGGAGACTTGAGCACCAGCAGAGATGCCCTCCTGCAGCTCCTGACCACGTTGCTGGCACTGGCTAGGCCAGAGAGACCCAGATCTGGACACTTCTTTGTTCACTGATGGAGGTTCGTATACTTAAAAATAAGGAGGCAAGGAGGCCTGACTGTTGCTTGCCTTATGAACTGTCTAATTTTGGTTCCATTAATTAAAAAAAACAAACAAGCAAACAAAAACAAACCACAACCAAAAGTTTAAGTTTAGGCATGTTTGGTAAAGCAGAAACACACCCAGTAGAGATTTTACCTGCACCAACCTGCACTGCTTAGAAAGAAGAAAAGCATCCCCCACATTTCAAATGATGTAGTCTGTTCTGCAAGCAGTATAACTTTTCACAGTTATATTAATACTGATATTGAATATAATTGAATATCATGTCTTATTTTTTAAGCTTCAGCACTTTTATATCTGGGGATACTCAGTGCTCTTACAGAGAAACATACGGGAGAAATAGTAGGACCGAATAATATTTCAAATGGTAGAAAAAATGTACTGTATTGCAAAAATAGCAAGTTACAGCCATGTGATGTGCTGTGCACTGGGGTAAATTTAGTAATGCCTCTTATTGGGGCTTGCCTCTAAACTTGATGAAGTTGATCAAAGGCTACTGAACCTTTTAAAGACTAGACTATGATTTCAGCAGAGTGCAGAACAGGCCCTTAATGCTGAATAGAATGAAGGACTGCAGCTTGCCTATGAAAGATGATCTTTAACCTAGTTGCAAAGGTATGGAGTATGAGTGTGAACCTTTGT